GCCTCGTCCCGCCCCGTCCCGCACGCCACGCCCGCCTCCCGCCCCGCGGCAACCTGCGTCGCTGGTTGCATGTCCTTCCTGGCTGCTTCCCTTTCTTTTAATTAATTTATCTTTGTATTTCACGTTCTGGGTGCGTTCATAAAATTCTCTTCAGATTCAACTTTACATTTGTAGGTACATGCTTACAATCTTACCCGATCTAATTTACATCTATCATTACATTTGACGAGGGGGTTCTACAGAATTAAACTACATTTGAGAAGAGGACGCGCAGAGCACCTCAATTGTTTTTCTTTTCTTTCTAAGTTGTTTAATATGTTCAAGAACGCATAGAGGATTAAGTAGAGGATATATGTTTTTATGCGAGTTAGGGTTTTGTAGATTTACCCCGTTCCAGATTACTGCTTTTCTTGATCAAGTGGACCAGCTTAGGTGGCTCAGGGCATCAGTTGATGTAATTGCAGTTCCTCTGACTGCGAGTTCGAAGGGTTCACACCGTGCAGGCAATTTTTTTAGTCACCAGCTCGATAGGTGCTCCACTTGTGAGAGGTATTTGGTTGGAGAAAACCTTCCGAGCCGACGTTGTAGGTCGACGCAACAGATTACCGCAACCTCCAACGATAAAAAATGCACTATACTTACAGGAATAATGACTTTAGCAGTTAATGTGCCTGAATCTATAATATGTCAATCAATTGATGAAGTGATCTAGTGGAGTTTTGAATAAAAGTTACAGGCGAGATAGGCCATATATAGAAAAGGATTGGTATTATGTTTAATTGGGTGTGTAGTTGCTTGACAGAGATGAATCAGGGGGAGTGGGTGATGGATCTTAAGAACTTGGTTTGGACGTCTTGTAATTGGCGAATATTATCACGTCGCTTCCCCTGCGGCTTCCTGCCAGGGCGAGCGGCGGCGGGGGACGGCAGGTCAGCGCCCGCAAGTGGCTCTGCGAATGCAAAGCGATAGGAACTAAAAGACAAGGAGGGAGGTGGCCATTGCACGCACTGCCCCATGATCTCCTGTTTATACATTTATTAAGTTTGTTGCTTGATTTTATTTTCGTAATTTACATAATAAGAATCCATTTCCTTTACTTGTGGCGTCTTTCTACGAGGTCATTGGAGTTCATTGGACACTTCATCCAAGCCAGTTATGACGGAATAATTGAAGATGGGTCACGATGATTCAGTTCATTAATCAGCAATGAACATAAAGATCTAACAGTAGTAAGGAAATCCTTACCAAAGTCATAATAAGGCCATCTAGAAATACCCGTTACACTCTTCAGAGGGCCATAGAAGTGGGTAGTCACCGGGGAAGGCTAAATCAAAAGAATTCCTAACTTCCTTTAAAACCCTAAGCAGATAAATTTGCAGTACTCCTGATACAAGGGTTAAAAAAAACCTAGAAACCTCCCGCCAGCCTGTTTGTTCACGGACCGACGGAACTCGCGTTCAATACGGTGAAGGCCGAGAACGAGACTGCAACGCCACGGGCGCTCATTAAAGAGATAATCCTGTCGTGAACCGTCAGTGTAAAGACATGTTACGGCCTATTAAATTAATGAACTAACTCCTTACACATTAGATTCATCAGTTCAATCTCGGCTGCCATGGAGAGGGAGGGCGAAAGCGTCTGGACCAAGTGGGCAACCATTAACTCCGCCCGCCATTCTCCGCGCCGACATCTAGAGCCCTCTCGAGTCAGGCGGCCGAGGAGGCTCGAGGCTCTTGACGGCCACCCGTCGTCGGCCCAATTGTCTGCTGCATCGCGCACGTCACGTGACTCGGGAGCAGAACCGCCTCCCCACGCCCCGCGAGCCTCTCGCACCGGAATCCTACGGAGATCAATGTAGGGAAAAGGGACAATCATCTATAACACGCATTGTAGTAGGGGCATGAAAGTGCTTTACGTCGTAGATTTTTGAGTTTAGCTACAACAAAGCTAAACTCGTTACTAGAAATAGCCATAGAAATTGAAGGATTCTAGGAATTTTCTCTCATGTCAAAATTAACACTTTATCAAAATCACTTTACCCTCTACAGAAATATGATAATGAATTAAAAATAATATTGTTTCAATAGTAGGTATTTTTTATAAAATATTTCTTAAAATCCATTGTTTAACTTATTGGAAAAGAAATGTGATTGTTCAAAAGAAAAGGGGGTTTATTAATTCGAAAGTATAATATGGGGTTTATGAAATCATGAAAGTGTAATAATGTATTACTATACATGAGTGAATTTTTTTCATGTCCAACCCCTTAATATGATATCCTTATATCTTCATTCTTAGCGAAACAAAACTTTACATTTCTACTGTTTCCGATCTGTACGCTTTTACAATCAATACGTTTTTAAACATTTGTTGTGGTGAATCTCGGGTACCTATTACAAAGTTAATCAGCGGCATGCATTCAGCCTGACCGGCAGATTCTCTTTAAATTCAAAGGCGAACTTTCGGGCGTCGCGTGTGTGCAGCCTGCGAAGGACATCGCATGTGCGCGCGGGTCCGCGGGCGCCTGCCCGTTTAAGGCAGAGGGCGGACAAAGGCAGGCAGGCCCGCGCCGATGCATTCGCGGCACGGCCGTCGTCTTGCACGACGCTTCCCGCGGCACAATGGCCGCCGAAAATAAAGCCACGGCCGTCTGCGGCGGCGCTGCGGTCGCGGACCCGTTCAGGGCCTCGCGGAGTCACGATGCCGCTTCTTCGCGCGGTAAAAACGGGTTCCCCGGAATCTATTCTTGCTTCGGAAGCGCGTAATTAGCCTTTATTCGACCCGGCTTTTTTGCTGACGGGGCGTCGTCGTCTGGATTTCTAAGACAGGACTGAGTTGTAAGGGGGGACATTAGTTATGTTAATGATGTGGTTGCAACAGGGACTGTTCCAGAAGCTGAAATAGATAAACGATGTCTGGTGTGTTGCGAGGCAAGAAGACAATCGAATGAGAGAAAAGCTGAAAATTTTGAATATAAGTAGTTCTTTCATTCTCAACTTAGTTTTGCTTTTTAATTAAGAAATTAAATTGGGGGCTTAAGTTAATAGTAGGTTTCGTGTAACATTTCGGGAACAGTAGTGCTCTATAATTTTGAGTTAATAAATATTATTTTTTTAACGTACCCTGCTATGACGTTTGTGGTGATTTTTTTAGCGAAACTCAATCGCAAAAGAAATTTAATTTCAAGTGTATTTAGTCTCCCAAAAAAATATAACTTGAATTTGAAATGCAGTTCAAAGTTTCGGAATATTCAGAATTCATACAAAGTAAAATATTACAAAAAGAAATCTAATGTAAAATAGGCGTACGTGTTTGAAAAAAGAAGGATTCTCTTTTTTAGAAACAAGTCTCTCCTCTGAAACTAGAAACCAACCTACTGAATTATTTAACAACTGCGAAGGTGAATTCATTTGTTCCATCTGATTCGCGAGCGCGCTCACTGTTTCTTTCATTTCCCACTGCATCTGCTGCACACCGGGCTAGAATTCGGAGGGTGAAGACGGCAGCTCGAAAGGAATGTGCCTACGCCAGCTCTGCGACCGCGCGGGCGTGTTGGCTGTCAAAAGCTGCGAAAGCAACTTTCCACAATTCACTTTTTGAAAGGTGTTGCAATATAGAAATGAAATTAAAGGTTATGAAATGCCATTTATTTTAACACTACTGAAATAATTATATTGTTCTTCGTCTTCTTCTCCTCGTTCTTCTCCCCCCCCCTCCTCCTCCTCCTCAATATTTCTCTCTCTCTCTGAACAGAGTGGAAATAATTATTGAAAAAACAAAAACCAATATAAGTTACGTAGAAAATGTCGAAGGGAGATGGAATGTTCTGCACATGTGATTTATAAAAGTACATATATGGAAATAATTTATTTCCTATTTTTAATCAATTTTTCCTAGACAGCTGAATAGCGAATATGCATACGACGAAGACTTCCCCGACCGAAGTGCAAGCGATTTCTTCCGACCACGAAATGCAGGATTCAGGGTAATGCAATCTCTCGTACAAGACAAGTTCTGCATACTCGCACTAAACCTATAAACCAAGTTATGATTTCCTTTTTGAAAAATTCTCCTCCGGAAATGGATGCCTGCGCACCGCCAAGGAAGCCTCGTTCCCAGCGGCGCGGCCGAATGCCGGTGGCTGTCCGCAGCGGCGCTCGTCCAATTAGGCGGGGAACGGGAGCGAGACAGCCGAGCCGCTGCGCGCCCGCTCCGCCCGCCGCGCCTCGCCTCGGCTGTCTCCGCTGCGCTGGGGGCGGGGGCGAAGGGGGAGGACGGGCGCGGGCGGGCGCGCAGGCTGACGTTCACGGGAAGTCGATGTCGATGGTTTCGAAACATCGATGTTCTTATAAAACACCGATTTTCAAAACATCGATGTTTTAAATATCGATATATAGAATTGATTGGTTGATGATTACTAGTGATCCCAGGCGCGTCAACTGCTAAGGTCGTTACTCCCGTATGTGTAGTGCACGGTTTTTTCTCGAGAGGGGACGGTGATCTTCCCCCGCAAGAGATCCTGCGCCGACCTACTGTCGGCTAACGGAGTTTCCCCAATCAGTATCTCCCAATAGTGGGGCATCACCCCAGTCGGGAAAAGCGCTGAACTCCCAGCATTTGTGGTAGTGTAATGTATGTAAGTGTAAGTGTGTGTGTAAATAATGGATGAGAATAAGACAAGGAATGGGAAGGAAAGATAGTACGTAGTCCGTGGCACGTTTGTGAGGGTACTGCTCCGCCATTGCGGAGAAACCACAGAAAACTACCGATCAGAGCAGCCGGCCGCTAGAATTCTTCTCCAGACTCTGACATAAATCGATTTCGCTCTCTGACTAGTTATGAAAACCTTCCCACTGACTCTCGCCATCCGTCGGGGGGAGATCGCCGCCACCTACCACGATAAAAACATGCACTTCACTTACGGGACTAATGAATTTCGCAGTTGATGCGCCCGAAAACACTAATCAGTGGATCCAGTCAACAGAGCCGTTGCGGCCGGCTTATTGGTTTAGCAAATGTCGGTATCTGAGTTCATATCCCGGTCACGCCGTCTGCACTTGGGAGTTTCCCTACGAGCGCACGTGGTTTTCTTGCTTCCTTCGCGCGCCGCGCCCTGGCCTCGTCCGCGGCCGCAGTCCGGAGGAGCACATCGGGAGGCGGGGGCGGGAGGTAGGGGGCGGAAGGCGGGCGGCGGAGCGAGCCACCCATAGCAGGGCGTGCGTCGGTTGGGCCCAAGTGCTCCCTGGCGGCGATAACGAGCGAATATTGTTCGGGGCGAGCAGACCGTGGGTTGTGGGTGGTTAACACTCGCCGTGCTCGGGATAAGTCTGTCGAAAGAGCCGCTCGGCCGTAGAGCCCTGGAAGCGGTTCTTCGAAGGGTGCTCCGGCACTTTCCGGGGAACGCGGAAGTGGAACTGAGAAAAACATCGTCCGGACTTTCTTGTGTTTATGGTGTAGGAGACTACAATCGTCAAGGTTAAAGAATACACCTAATGGCAGGGAAATAGTTAACTCTTCGTAGCAGGGGCTTAAAGACAGGAAGCCTCAAATCCAATAAGAAAAAAAAAAGATTTATAATCGCTTAAATCCTTGTAACAGCATCTGACGAGTGTGTAAGCTACATTGATCATACAACGATTTTTACTACACTTCTACCTAGTAAAGGAATGCTGAAATAGTAATTGTGAGTGTTCGTTAAGAAGTCCTCCCCCCTTTTTTTTTTGATAATTCGTTGTCATATGTGAACTAGACGTTGGGAATGACCATTATGACGCGAGCCATGCAAACTATTTGGTATCTGGAAGTGGTAAATTGTAGAGTTGGTATATCATGCAGGTGCACATCAAAAACCGTGTTCATCTGCAATTGGCAATTGTAGAGTGCTGTGAATATGAAAACATATTGAATTAACATTGTTTTTTTTAATTAGCAGATGGTACAGTAAAAAGAGTGGACTCTGCGAGAAATAACACACACACACACACACACACACACACACAAATTCACACAACTGTCTTACTTCCTCAGTGCACGGAAGTTCCCATTTATTGCCACGCCATCGCTTAATTAGGCTCAGTAAACTTCAGTTGAACCGGAATGCTTGTACTTAATTCTTAATAGTGAGGAAACTTCATTAGCACTCTAGCTCTGAATACTCGAAAGATATTCCGTTACTTGGCCGCTTGCAAAACAACACCTTGTTTCTGGTTTTACGAGTACATCTCAAGTCTTGTTCCGTATTTGAGTTTTGAACTTCGTGTGCGGAATAATTTTTTTTATGAGGAAGCGAACTATGTACAACGTGACTTATTTTTCGTTTTCTGATCGAAGTTCGGAGTATCACCTCTGTTGGTCTCCTGCGATCACGTGACGCAAAGAATTTGTCGGATGATTGAGAGCTGTGCCCTTCATGGTCTGCGGAGCCCATGGAATTGTTCGCTTCGCAGAACTCTCTGATTAGGCGCGTGAAAAGAACTAGATTCGGAAGAAAAGTTGACCGGCAAGTCGTCACTTTCTCGGTACTTCGTCGTTTGAATCATTATTTCTTCTGTCAGGGGGAATTCTTGTAGACAGATCAGTAAGAGGTCATTTTTGATATTCGGCGGTACACATTTTCAAGTAAATGAAGAGAGAATATTGTTTGAATCTCTAGTTTGTTCGTGAAAACATGAACACACGATATCTTTTGTTCAAGCTCGGTCACTTACGTCGTGTTGGATTAGCAGATTCTATTTCGTCAATTTGAATTTCTGAATTTCATGAAAGTAAATACTTATTGTACTATTTTCGCAAATATGTGAACTAGTTATTATTTGACAATAATAATTAATGTTCTTTACGAGAAAAATTGATAAACATTTAGTGTCGAAAACAAAATCCTATTAGAATGGATTAAAAAAATGCAATTATCAATACACATTTAGTAATCATATCTATTAACAGAAGAGACGGTTTGGTACTGTACCTTACTGTTCGGCTTACCTGGGGCACTGTTCGATTACCTTACAATAATGTCCATTGGCATACGGAGTCTGAAAGCAGAAGGGGCAGCTATATTGCGGGGTCCCTTTTCCATTAAACTATTTTACTTACATATGACCTTTTTCTAGTAAATATATAAACAATCACAAGGAGAATGAACGCATAACAGTACCTAATTATACAATTAATAATTACTACATTATTATTAGGAAGAGGATTTTAATGAAATGCCTTTTTTTCTTTTTACTTTATAACAATGCTATTTGGTAAAGAAATTCATTTTATGTTACGACGAAACGAAATTACCCATTTTTATGTCGTTATTTTGCATTTTGATTTTGTCTAATAAGTCATTTTTTTACATTCTCGAGTCATTTTTACTGCATTTTTTGCTGATTACATTGATTTTAATAGCATTTTAATGGTACTTGCTTCAAACAATATCTACGAGGTGCAACAAATGTTCACCACAGAATTCCTGAGTAGCCTGTTCGATTTCTTCGCTCATATATTGTAATGTCAGCCGTGTGCGTGCTCTGTAATCTAAGGTTCCTGTGACACCTACAGGCGCCATTGTCAGTTCGCAATAAATAGAGGCAGAGATGTTCTTGTAAAGAACAGTCCAAAAACAAAGTTTGCAAGCTGCGTTCATTTGAACAAAAGGAAGGAGCTTCGATTACATCAGTAACATATTATCCCAGCAGCTTGAGTTGTTCGTCTGAAGTGGTTTTGATCAATTTTTATACGTCATTTTTCTTTGTATTTGGAGCATTTCAAGAGCATTTTATTGGTCATTTTTGGAAATGTTTTAGGTCGTCAAAATCCGTTCCCTGATTATTACGTTTATCAACATCAATAGTTTTGGTTTGATATTTCATTAACATCGATGTTTCGCTGTCGACGTCCCATCCCTTAGTAACGCGAGCGACCTTCTCTCTGGCGACGTTCCTTGGCGCGGAAGGCGGTGACCTGATTGGCGAGCGGCGCGCGGTTGTACGGCGGCGGTGGCCGGTTCGCGTCCGGCGAGCCGAGGGGGCGGGGGGGGGCTGGGTGGGGCGGGGTGGCGTCCAGACGACGACGGTCTCGTCGGCCGTGCAGCCAGCGCTCGCGTGTAGGGACCTTAGATTCCTGGGGGGGAACAATGATGCCGGAATCGAAAAGCTGGAATCTGTTCTGAAATGTAATCGAAAGAAAAGAATCCATTCTCTAAGGAATCGATTCTAATGCAATCACATTCACAAAAATATAACAGACAAACCCCATGAAAAAAATCTAAAGCATTCGTTTCGACCTTTGGGAATCAATTTCTGCAAGAATCAGAAACAAAGGTATCGAAAACCAAAATTGAAAAACAGAATCTATTGCGGAATCTAATCCATAGAACCATGGTGGAATCAAATGAGTGGGGTCTTGCGCATCGTATCCGACTTCAGCCAATGAGCTTCAGGCACCAGTCTGCATCACAGTATAGCGAGAATTTTAAATGCCAAAATTATCCCCGTGTTATAAGACATTGAAACAGAAATATGAAGATTTGTTTTTTAAGTATTGCATCTTTTATTACAATTACATCTTCATCGTGTTATTTTATGGTTGGTCACCGTTAAAAACTGTCCCATGCAATTGTCGCTGTCCATGCAACACGGCGGC